ATTTTCTGACAATAGTATAATAGTTACGCCCGAGTCACATTTGCTCCGATTCATCAATATACAATAATCCTTGACTGTTTTACTTCACAACCATTTCTGGGAACACTGATAATGCATGTTTGTTAAAATATTATGCCCCAAATCTATAAAAAATGTCTTTGGTTAGTTAGATGAGGGGAGGCCATGTAATGCAACAGTAAAGAAGCTAACTATATCCCATTGTCTCCTGAAGGAGTAGTCTCTATCTCCTTACCTAGATAAGGCTCTCCCTTCCACCTTAATGACATCCCCTGTGTATATCTCATGTACATTGTAAACACATGTACATACATGTGAGCTTGCATTCCCAAAATGTATACAATACATAATACCATACTGAACCCTGCCTTTCTTTCACAAAGACACTGTCAAAATAAATAAATAAAAAATATCCAAGGCCTACCTCTCTTCCTATTACCATGATGCTGTTTTATCTAATGTAATAGTAGTTCATCAACTCACTCTTTTATTTAAAATGTGATCAAACGTTCAACATCTCAAATCGAACATCATTGGCTTCTGTTATGTGATGATCAAAGTTAATAATGTCTGGCTTATTTTAATAAAATAGTATCGAAGCCAAATATATGTAACAGCAAAATGATGCATGCAGGGTGTAGGGGCAACCTTGAAAGATTTCTTGATCTTTGAATTAATTTTATTTTTAATTTTGGATTAAAAAGACATCAATTCTGTTAATTTGAATCAGGGATAATTAGTCCTTTTCAATGTGTGATACTTTAGATTAGCTGATTTTTAGACTATACATTGAAAAACATTGAAAAAGTCAAAATGATATCAACTTCAGCTGACTTAATCTTTCCAAAATGAAGTGGGTGAGGTTTGTTTCTCTACAGAGTTTGTTTAATACAATTTTAATTTTTTGTTGACTCCATGCATACCCAGATCCTTAGACAAACGAAAACATTTCTAATTTGAATTAATTGCAGGACTGGATATTATTTGTGAAATGCCAAGTGTGAGACTTCTATTAACTTCGCAACAGTTTGGCTGGTTTGGCAGGTAATTTAAAGCCTTGCTGGAGGTGACATTGGTTCCTGACTGATACTTGGGGAGATGTTTATGTTATGCTCCCAAGAGCATATTTTACTTGATTGTGTGGTTTGTATGCAGTACATGTTACCTTATGTTATTCAGCTGGAAATTAATAAGTCTCATTGGCCAAGTGTGAAAAAACAAGCATTAAGTTAATTTACTTATTTCATTAAAGATATCGAGATTTCAAGAGATAATTGGTAAATGTGGCATATACAATAACAAGGCAATAACATGCAAAATGCCACAACCTGCCATTTGTTACAAATGCAGAACACCAAACTCCAAAATCTAACTGCTGCCACAAAAAGTGGGAGACAATAACAACTTGTGGTTTTGACATAAAAACCATACTCAAGGATATCATAGCATAATCAAATCACATCCTCAATAGAAAGTCGTTAAAGCCAAAAAGCCCATCAACCTAGGAAGTACTGGTCAAACGAGCAAAGTTCAAAAAGTTCCAGAATCAATTATCAAAGAACATGAATATCATCAAGTACTTTGATTAATCAAGAATAGATTGATTTCCATATTCAGACATTGTTTAGTTAAACTGAGAGTATCAAACAAGAGGATTGTGGATCAACTCTACCGTATGCACAATCAGGAAAATTGGAAATCAGATACTTTAATTCCTACTTCTTGATCCCCTGTTATAAAAGTTATTAATTTTGGAGACGTCAGCATGAATTATGGACATATTTCAAACTACTGTAATGCTTTAGATCTTGAATCCAGCAATAGTTATCCAACAAATATATCATTTGAAATTCCAAGTCTGTGTGATTGTCATTTCATAACAAAATTGCTCGATAAAATTCCGATAGATCCTTGCCAAATAAATCATGATGTCTATATGGAATCTTTGAAGCAATCTAAATCTTTATTCATTGTGCTTTATACCTCCTCGCTTGAAGTTGGAAAAATAACATTTATCTCATCTGAATGGGTTTATTAAGGATCTGAGATTGGGTAATTTGAGCCCATTACTCTAAGGAAGGATAAATATCATTCGTGGGTCAGTTTCTAACTTAATTCGCTCCAGATTAATATGATTTTATATACACATATTGTTTGACACTGTCCAGTGTTTGAACGCAAATGTTTCTGAAGTAAAGAAGTAACATATGGGCAAAATCTGGTGATATTCTATTTAAATTCTGGTAAAGTTTTTTAATATAAGGTGAAAAACAAAATCAAACAAAATATCATTTTATGACATTATCATTAATGCATAATTATCAAAAAATGCATTCAAAGCTATATTTTCAATACATAATTCTCTGAATAGGAAATACAGTCTAAAATGAAAAAAATACATCAATTAATAAAATCTGAGGAAAACATAAAAAGTTTGCAATTTCCTTTTAGACAGGAGACAATTCCGACAGAAATGAGTCATGGGTTATTCCAATGTTTTCACCCTCTACTTGAAGTTGTTAGCAGCCTGGCAAGTGTTGGCGAAGCATGAATGAATGCAATCCATGTGGAAAATACAAGGGCATTCCATATTCAAGAACCCTAGAGATAATGGAATCTAAAGCCACTGGAGCTAAAGTGATATTCTCTGTGTCCTCAATAAAAGACTTTTACCCTATGGTCATCATGTAATTCACTAACCCCTTACTTGGACAAAATGTTTAAACCAATCAGAAAGCAACGAAGAGCGAGACTAATAATATGTCTGCAAATACCCTGTAAGGAGAACCATCTTTGAGGAATGACCTGATTGGCAATTTTAGATGTTTATCAGTAGTGAAAGAATGTGAGACAAATACCATTACTCGAGCAAAAGGGTAAAAAAGACACCTAGCTAAGGCTCCAAACTATATAACACGTTACTTTCTACTAATGTTTATGTAATTAATAGATAATCAATTACCAGGCATTAGTAGCAGACAACAGGCAATAACAACCCTATATGAACGAGTTGATTTTTTGAACCATCCATATTTTTATTGCACTAGGTCTACATACTCATATCTAATGCAACTAATGGTTTAACAAAGGTTTATAGGGAAATCAACCTTTTCCATTCAAATGAATTTGGACAATGAATAGATTATTTGGCCCACCTTGTACAGCATCATATACCTTTATATTTAGAAATTAAAGTACATTTTTATCATTTAGATGTGATACATCTTCATCTCTATCTAATACTGCATATGCTCATTAATGCACAGTGTGCATTACATCATAGGGCTCATTGGAATCCTGTGATTATTTTTATCAACCTTAGAACCTTTAAGAGGCTGGAGCAAGTAAATTCTGTGTTAAGTAGTATTTTGATGATAAATCACACATTTTTGTCAATGTAGATGGCATACGCTAGCATTGCATTCTCTGAAAGTAGTCTCTGCACCCAATGGGGAATATTCAGAATAAACTTACTAATATATTGGAACAAGGAAGAGAAGGGCAGGTGTCTCATCCTATGTCCAATGTGGAAATCGAACCTGGGAATACAATCCTAATGTAGCACCAATGTTAGGTCCTAATCAATATGTATTTTTTTTAATAGGAATGGAGGATATGTTAACAGTTCATTTATTTATCCTAAGTTCATTTGTAACTTGGACAACACAATCCATGAGAAGTAGTAATACTGTACCTCTAGTGAACAGTGCATCCAAAGTGCATATATTGACCCGAATAACAAAGGCCTTTGATTGCAGAAGTGGTAAAGGGATCTTCAGTTACCAATAAATTATCTCCGCATCATGGAAAATAGTGCAATTGTTTTATTTTATATTTATGGGATACGTTATGAATAATTTAATTCAATGCAATGTAGGTTTTGTCCTCTCACGTAACATAAGAAGATGACCATTTGTCTTGCTCTCGTTGGCTCGCTGTATTGAATAAGATTTGTATCAAAGTAAATGCTGCAAAGGATTTCTGCCCCGCTACAATTGATTTTTATAGTTACGGCAAGTGTGGTATTGTTCAATACAGAGCTCTCTTATTATAAAGAGAATTACTGATGGCTGATATATCGGATGTGAAGGAAGAAACTATTCAAAGGATTTCAAGGAACTTGTACTTGGAACCATGTTTACATAAGACTCCAGAGATAACTGAACATTCTCCTATGTTTCATATCATAACCAAATGCTCCTGTATTTCATCAGCCGAGACCTCACGGAAGTGTGAATACTCTTGAACAGGTTACCATTCATCAAATTACATTATCAAATACTTTTAGGTTTTTAACTAAATGCTTCTTGTCCGACAGTTACGATCTTGACTACAAGAACCTATTTATCAACCCATGAGGAAGTTATGAGCACATATCAAGTCTAAGAGATAACCCGAGATAAAACCTATAATCCAAAAAAGAATGTTGATTCAAAAAACAGAAAATATCCATTAAATGGTAAATAAATATCCTAGTTTGCCCTAAGCCTAATATGTAATTGAAAAGACAGTTAGCGAGTGGTCAGTATTGTTAAGATAACCATGAGTTCTTTACTAGTGGTGCTCTTCTCTATTTCGTCCAAGAAGCTTGAAATGCCTGAGATGTTTGAAACTGATCTTAGCCTAGTACAACAAACACCTGATTTGGAACACATATCCACACCTGAATGATAGGTTGATATAATCACCTGACTTCATTTTTTCAATATATGAGCCAGGCCACAGGAAAAGGGGTCTTATCACAGATTTTTCAATATTTTGTTTTTTGTTTATCTTAAAAAGCACAAAAAGACCTTTCAAATGAGCCATGACTTATTTAATTTAGCACATTTTCCTCTTAATCTTGGGCACATTTTTGGCTCTGTAGCACAATTCTAATTTTTGTGATAAGACCGGTTTTCCTATGGCAAGGCTCATATGTACTTGTAGCTAAGCTTTGGCTGTAAGACTTAATTGGAAATACTGAAAACATTTCTACTCACGGATGAAGGTGTCTTAGCCACTGTCTTTGGTTTCTGGGCTGGTTTGGGTTTGGCAAAAGGATCTGAGCCTTCTTTAGCTGCAAGAACAAACAAAACACATTTAATCAATCCACGATGAACAAATCTTAATTAATTCAAACATATTCATGGTAAATGTGGAGAGACATTCATATCACTGTGAACAGAGTAGGATATGTGCCCTTTTACCATGACATCTTCCATGGTATTGTCCTAATAATGCTATGTCAAGTCTAGTGATGAAGCGGGCATTGCCCTTTCATTCACAACTGGAAAAAATTCTAACAAATTAAATTCTTTGAATTATTTGCGATGTTAGGATGATTTCACTGTGGTATGAGGCCTGTTATGTTGGATTGCATTAGATATACTGATTTAGCAGCTTCTCTTAGCAATGCCTGAGAAAGAAGGGATGACACAGTTTAGCATTTTGGTACAAATATATTACTTTATATAAAAATACTCATAATTACTCTATGGTCATTCATGGCACCACAAAGCAGTGGGAACTCTTGTTATAGCCACCATCTATTGCAATGGTCAGTATCTTGTTAGCGGCAAATGTACCAATTGTTATGACAGAATGTCTTGTTAGACCTTGTTGTAGACCATATATAATATGATTATGATATGTGTCATAAATGTCAAATCTGATTATATATCCAAATTAGATCACTGATGAAATATGTAATTAAACATCAAAACACATTAGGACTCGTGTTATTACTGAGGTCAAGAAAATATTACTTGATGTTGAATGATACACAAAATGTGGGAAAATGTGTAATGATCATGATTTCCCCAGCTTTGAAGCAAGTGGGTACTGCACCTGCTTGAGATTTTAAAAACAGGCTACCCATTGAAGAATCTATTTGCACCCACTTGAAAATGAAAAAATCATGAAAAATTAGCCTAGTTTGACCTTTGGTCTAAAATGTGAAAATAAGAATTTTGCACTCACTTGAGAACGACATTCTGGAGAGAACACATTTAACATAGAAGATAAAGTTATATTCACAATCTAACTGTCAATATGTGCTTGATAGTAATAGTGGGTGTTCTTTCCATCATGCATTTGTTTCAGTGAAGCTGCTTTATAAGATAACAAATTGAATTTAATTACAAATCCATCAAGTTTTGAGCAATTAGTTAAAGTTTGCGGATTATATGGGAGTTGGAGATCCATTGACATTTAAAGTAATGAAACGACTCCAGAATTGCATAAAAATTCTTCATGGCACTGCTGTTTTATTAAAATAATACACGTAGAATTTGTTATGAACAAGATCGCGGCTATAAATGCTAGGATTTAATGTAAGTGATAACAATATATATCTCAGAAAAGACCGATATTTCAACCAAATAGACCAAGATTACATCGAGTGGAATGGATTCAATATGGTTTCAATTATCCCATATGAGTTATAGTTTTAGTTTATGATATATGAATACTGAGTAGTTTAGAGATTATGAACGTATGACAACATTAGAAAAAACTTCCGTACTTACTCATATGCATGATCAAAAAAATACAAAGATAAAATTATACGCTCTTTATCAGATCCAAATCTTGAAAACAGGTTTTGGAAGATTTGACTGAAAGCAACCATTCTTAGGACACAAATGATGCAACCTTGGAAAAAATGGTCCGAAGACAGAAAGGTATATTGGCGAGGCCCTTCAAAGGGTAATCAAATCCTCTAAAGCACCCATGAGGCACAAATGTAACCCATTACATAAATAGTCAAAGCAGGATTTATATTGCAGATAACATAATTAAAGGATGACTTTCCAGATTAAATAAGATTGAATAGAATCCACCAATAATAATACGAAGTGCATATTGTATTCAATTGGTTAAAACTGAAAAAAACTCATAAATCTTTCGAACCATTCAGTTTAATTAACCCTTTAGTGCTGCAAAAAAAGATACGTAAAAAGTCAACCAGCACTATCAAACACATATATTCTTTCTACCCTATCTATCCTTCCCACATCTGATTTACGAAGGATCAGAACTAACTAAACTGAGACAATTGATCGTGATATGAAAATTTCAATGTGTAAGTTTCAATTACTGTGAGGCAATTAGTGCCAAGTTAAACATTGCAGATGAATATTTAATCTAATATTGGCACTCAATGCTCTTATGCTATTCTATTCAATCTTTCTGTGTCAGAATTACCCCTCTTTTCAACAAAAAATCAATCTAAGATTATTTAATTTGGGATGGATTATTGGGAGCGTGAATTCTAGTAGTACAGAAAGACCTGTAAAATGGAACATTAAAATGAACGCCTTCTTCATTAAGCTAAATACCAATTAATCCTAGCCTTTGATAATTTAATCTTTACTTTGATATCCTTTTAAGGTTGAATTCATTATATTTCTTAAGATATTTCCCCCTTTCTATCCCTAAGGGATTTTACAGGTATGAAATGTCATTGTTAATGAAAGAGAAGATTTAGCATGTCTAATATACATATCTCAAATGTGATAAATCCTAATTGTTATCTCAAAAAACTCTCAGAAGACTCAAAACATCAGATCACTTCATATAATTGAAAATAATAGTTTCCTTTGATTACTCTGGGAGCATCTTGATGGACATTAATAAGAAAGAATGTGTCGCAATACCAGGAGCAGCTGTTGCAGATGTTGGTGATGTCAGGTCTTGGACTACAGCTGCTGCCAATCCAGGCCCCACCTGATGTAAGTCCTTTATGAGCATGCCCACTATGCTGCTTTTACGACGTACATGTTCCACGTCTAGGGCAACAGGAAGTGTCTTCCGTCTTCCATAGCGATCTTTTAATGAGTCCATAATGCTGGTTTTACATGGATCTATCACTCCACTGTACATGCAACGTTTCTACTGTCTGTCCAAAATAATTATCCGAAAGAACAATCAGCCAGATCCTTCTCAGAAAAATCAGCTTCCAGTTGAACTTTTTTCTTAATTTTTGTACAATTGCATCACTAAAAATATAACTTAGTTCACGATAATAGCCTCCAGGATAATCCGGTTGTTATATTTCCAAGTTTCAGTCTTGAATGATATCTGTCTCTAAACCTCTATTAATCTTCGGTTTTAACTTGGGTCATTTAATTCATTTCCAGTTTCATCCATCCTAGCTGAGTTATTTGCGCGAATAAAGTACGAGATTGCCATTGCTCGTGTGGAATTGAGCCATTGTCACTCCATAAATGTCACTAAATTACATCTGCCGGTTATAAAATCACTGAAATGATTTTGCACTGCCAACATGACCTGTTTCACTTGAATTGAATTATCGTTATAAATAGTTTTCTAATTTTGTATATGGATTTCCAGGGTAATTAGATATCTATACCTATCTGCACTTTGTCAGTATTTACCAATATGCGGGTACAAAGTTGTTCATATATACTAAGAGTTTCCAATAAATTGATTATAGCCTTGATGTTTCTTTCATTATGTAAAATTTCTGCAAAAGAAATGATATAATACTAATTACATTACGATGCATTCTATTCGTAAAACCATCCTTCTTGACATAAAGCACGGAGTATCCAGTCACTACTTCAAGCAGAAGGGCTCCTTCATAATTCGAACGCAACCAATTTGGAGTCTCTCTGTATGAATAAAAAGTGTGCTTTTATCTCCTAGCTAGGTTTGGCAATGCAATAAATAATCGCATATACATGTGTGAGTATTCCCTCTTATAGATCCTCTTTCAAATACCACACTTTTAAATTAAGCTGTTCCAATCCGATAACTGAAAGATGTTTGCTAAGTCCCACTCTTTCAATTTAAAATAACATGTATGAATTAGAAAAGTTTGCCGATGACCGACAAATGGTCTACATGACAAATACTATATGTTTTACATATGGCATATCATAATAAATTCCTGCATTTCATCCTTTATTATTTTTTATTTTTTATCTGACTACAATAGCCAAAAAATGTTTCGTGATAAATCAAGAACCAACGCCATATACATAGATTCACCCCACTTTAGTTTGTTTTCCTTAAATAATGAGTGCCAGGAAATTAAAACATCAGCGTTAATTTGTAAAGTTGAGTTTGAGCATTTTATGCTCTACGTTACGATTATCTACGCTGAAAGTGATTTATCCTCATGAATGTTCTAACCGATATGTCACTTCCTTCTTTACTGGGAACCGACATATCAACCAGCATCAGATAAGTAATGCGGACATATAGAAACGTCAATACAATGTCAGTATTTTCTATCCAGTAGTAGCTAGGGACACTATTAGGTAAGCTGTGGTATTGATTGTGGTAGCAGTTCTTTTAGCTTAAATAGGCCGCTACAGGTGCCTGAGTTGCTAGTCACTTTAAAGAGCATGCAACTAAATATAGATCTCTTTTAATCAAGGAATGTTTGCCTAAATTGACAGCCTTGCATATTCATTGTATTTGTGATGCAGCTATTTTGGTGAGTCTGAATGCGAAAAATGCAACTAGACAGTACTATAGTGAATGCAACTTTAATTTAAAGACAGGCGCAATCATCTTAAGTGTCACTGAGTTTCTGTTATAATTATAGAAAATGATTCTGGGTCACTCTGCTCTATTTGTTATATGATGCCAACTGAAGTTCCGGATCAGATATCCCAGTGAATGATGGTCGGCTAAAAATCCACAGTTTAATGGAATCACTCTGCTAATTGAACCTTTTGATCATAAATTAAGCTTTTGGATCACTGACTCCTTAATTGCTTCCTCTCATCGTCAATCTCCGCATTGTTAATCTCCTAGGTGATCTTAATAGAGTAACCGCCTCCATATAGCATATATTCAACTAAAATCAGGCACTTATACTGGCCAAAATATATAAATTAAATCATATTTGGCTGAGTCTTGATCCATAAATGCATACATATTTATCAGCAATATTTTTCTGCATAATTCCTGATATCATTTCATAGAGCTAGGTTAACTTGTCATTTTATACTACTGTATACTGAATGAAACACTTTTACTGCTGTGGCAAACAATTGTCCCTGTCTCTAACAGCTACAGTGTTTGTGTAATTGTTTCCAAATCTCA